CTCAGCCAGTTTCCTCCTCTGTAAGAAGAAGGGCTGGAGCTGGAGCTGATTTCTTAAGGTCTCTTCAGCTTTCACTAAAAACTCACACTTCTATTAGTAACCCTTTTAAGATTTGCTCAATTTTTTCCTCACAGCCCTGTGAGGCAGGTAGAACATGTATCATCCAAATTTTACAGATGAAGAAACTGAGGCTTAGACATTAGGTGACTTGCCAATGGTCAAACTAAGCCTCTAGGAAAGAATTCACATCCTGATGTCCAGACTCTCACTGCAGCATTCTGCTCCCTAAGTCACAGTATCTCTCCATCTGAGTGTGATACACAGACAGGCCACCCAAAGCTCTGTACTACTTTTCTCACAATTATCAAACAGTAGCTTTCCCATACCAGGTCTGTTTCAGATGCTCACTGAGGCCAGGGCCTCCCAGCATAGCCACAGTGATTGGCCCCAAGAGGATCCTCAAGTCAGTAGATGCTAGGTTCCCTCCAACCATTCTGGTCTAAGTGTTCAAGTGGAGGACATCTCAATGTGATCCATACTCAGACTCAGGAGGCTCCTCAGTTCAGAACTGCAGGCCCAGAATGGCCGAGGAACAGACTCTAAGCTTAGGAGCGTCTTTCTGCCACAGCTAACCGTCTGCCCACTGGCAAATCCACAAGCATGTGCGGAGTAGGACGTCTATGTTTCTGTCTGTCTTTCTTTCTCACACACATATGCCTGCACACCCAAGAATTCCAACGGGCCTTGGGAAGGGAATTAGAGTATAGTGGACCTGCAGCTGGAATTTTGCAACTGAAGCAATGCATACGCAATCCAAAGAACCAAAGCAACTCCCAGGTCAATAATTCTACCAACTTAAGGAAATTAAAGAAAATCTAACTCCAGCAGTATTAGAAACATCCACGATAACGAGAAGCAGGTACAGATAAAAGTCAATAAATATATCAACCACAAGTGTCCAACTGTAAAGTCTTCAACCTTCTATCTTAATAATCTTAAGTTGAAATACGTTTCTTGGTCCTAAGGACACAGTTTTAGAAATCACAAGAATGACACCCTCACTACATCTTGAAAACGATTATTTATTAATTTGTTCCACACTTTGAGTTAACTTTATTTCCAACAATAAATATCTTATCTTCACAACAAGTCATATAAAAGATCTGACCAGGATGTAAAGCTGGAATATGGTCTAGGCAGCAGGAACAGAAGCATCAAAGCCACTTAACTCAGTAGGCCCATTATGTACTGCATCATCCTGATGGGGAAGCCTGTTCACACATCCAAATGAAAGCTCTTGTGCTTTATTTTATGTCCATTTCCTCTTGTCCAATTTCCCAAAGACATGGAAAACACCACCAGCACTCCCACATTCCCTTCATTAAAACCCTTCTCATACCTGATAAGAGCAATAAAAACCACCATTTCACTTTCTCAAGACTATTAAACAACCCCAAATCCCTGACATATTTTCCCTCCATATGGGACTTTACACTTTTTTTCAAATTAGATAAAAGAATCCAATAATTCTTAAAATTGGGAAAAGTGCTTCCCAGGCCTTGCTCATTTAAATCCATTCCAATCATACTGCTACTTACCTTCCCATTCAATGTCACAAAGATGCTGGCATTGTCTCTAACCCTTAGGTCTTTTTCTTCCATAATTCTAGGCCTAAATCAAACTATCCCATGGTTTAATTGTTGGGTTTTGTTCCCTATCGTATGTGTTTCTTCCTAATTTTATCCAGCATTTGTTGGACAGTTCCTCCAAATTGATTTAGTCTTGTTTTCCAAAATACTAAGAAGCCCGCCTAATAATATTAATGACACGTTCTGGCTTCCAAATCATCAATAAAGACACTGAAAACAGCGGTGTCTGCAAATTGTCACCATGGGACCACCTGATGTGTCCCCTCGAGCTGACAGTGAACCACTGGTGGCTTTTGGATGCCGCTGTTAAGCAAGTTACTTAACCACTTAAGAGTGGGGCAAAATCAGATGTGTGGCTGAAAGACAGTCATGACAACAAATGGTCTGCCATGATGTGCTCTCACAAACCCACCTCTGCAACCTAGTGTTTTAGTTTTCTAGGTGATGAAACACTGATTGATGATTTTTTAAATGATTTCCAAAGTACTCTCATTAAACTGTAAGAGCTGTCATTTCTATATAAGAATATCCAGAAGAGTCTAAGTCAGGAACCAGGCAGAACTGGCAATTAAGGAAAGACCAATCTGTAAACATTCCAAATAACCCAAATGCTTAATTATAAATAGATTATAATCATCTCCCATAGGCTCTCAATGATGTGAATCTTTAGCCCTGTTTTCTTTAATGAAACCAGCTTAACCTTACTGAAATTATTCTGTTTAAAGCTGATTTGAGAATAGGAAGAAGAATTAAAAAAAAAACATTTACTGCTTCACACTAAAGGTGAAGAGACCCTGGGGAATGCTAGGTCTATAGTTTCCTAAATCTTCTGTTACGAGGAATTTATGAAATTTCATAGCATCCAAAAACCTGGCCATGTGTCTTAAAAGACCTCAGCTAATTAATTATGTTGTTCTCTTGAAAGAGCATGGTAATTTATGAACCAATGAACAAGATCCCACTAAGCAGCCAGACATCTTAATATTGGAAGATGACACTACAAACCTCCTGTTAAGGTCTGCTTTTAAATGTCTCGAATAAAAGGCTTTGTATCACTCAAGGAACTTAGAGTTGGTGGTGCATACATGTATGTGAATGTGTATATCTTGACAGACACATGTGAATAGACAATGAAGGGGACCCAAAACGGAATGGGAGAAGAGTGGGCTAGACTGTCTTTGGGAAATTGTATAATATTTACATTGACCCCAAGTTTCTCCCTGAAAAAAAGAAGAAAAGGCCTATTTTCTAAGACAAATATTCTTCTAATGATGATTTATGTCTAGGAGCAAATGTAACACCATCATTTCTAAAGATTTACAGTTGCAAGTAAACCAACAGGAGATCACCTCTTATACGGGGGGCATTAAACAGGCTGCAACATAGTACATACAAAGAATCACTCAGGAGAAGTGTAAAGGCCCTAATCTAAGACACTGAGAACTAAAAAAGGGGGGAGTCATGGAGCAAGAAGGAAAGCCAAGCATAATTGATGGCTGGCCCACCAGGAAATGCTTCCAGTGTGTCAGGTGGAGCCCTGTGGAAGCCTTGTGCAAAAATGTACATGATGACTGCCACAGCATCTGAGACAGTGTGGTCTGGCTGGGATCTGCACCACCACAGCATCCACCCAGTGGGATTCAGAAAGCTTTTGAAGATCTGGCACATCAAGAAGTATTCATGCTTTCATATTCCCACTCACGACAGATAAAAATATCCAGAAGCCTGGGTCACTCATGCTGTAAAATGTGATGAACCATTTATCAGTAAGAATACTCTGATAGAGCACTAGCCCTGGAGTCAGGAGGACCTGAGTTCAAACCTCACGTCAGACACACAACATTTACTAGCTGTGTGACCCTGGGCAAGTCACTTAACCCCACTGCCCAGCGCAAAAAAAAAAAAAAAAAAAAAAAAGAATACTCTAAGACCCCTCTGAGGGAAAAAAGGGGAAGGGGCAGCAGAGAGCTCGTTATTTTGGAGAAATTGTTCACTAATGAATGTTTCACATCTACAAAGCAATCCTAAATGGAAAAGCTGTCATAGCTACAAAAAGTTGCACTGGGTATTATGTTAAATTTGTCAACGGGTTATTACGTGGGTGTTCTTCCTTACTTTTTGCAATTGTTAACCTCACCTTGCAGAGATGACTACTCTAAGGAAAATTTAACGTAAGGATTAAATCATTTCATTCTGACCAGAAATCAACATTTCCAATAAATACCAAAGTTTTTCAACTGTCAACCCGTCTTAGTCCGCTTCTCAATCATGGTACCCACAACAAAACAGAATCCTCATATTCACTGACACAGAGTTAGCAGAGTAAACTCATTTCAATCACTTATAATTTTGCCATTTACCTCCAAAAACTTGAGACCTTTTTTTCAAGATTAACCCAGAGTTCTACAAGGTACTTCTAAGAGGTCTAGTCTGCTTCAGACTTGTGATTTCATGGGCTTCGGCAACTCTCAGTTTGCAAACTCCACCAGCCAACGCACATGAGCAAACTGTATCTTCTAGTCTTAAAGCTGCCTGGGGCACTGTGAGGCGAGCATGCATCAGAAGCAGGCCTTCGGATTACCCTATGCCATGCTGCCTCAATAACAGCTGATTAGACAAAGTGTCATCATAAAGAGGTGTGTGTTTGAGCTAGAACCTCCATCTCATGCTCCAAACTCACAACAGGAGGATTTTAATCTTAATAAACCCAAAAAGCCACCAACATACAAGTGCTATAACTTCCAAAGCGTGAAAACCATGGCTTGAAGGAAGACACACTAAACACACACGTGTACAAATACATTCGTAAGTGCTTTGAGTTTAATACATATTTTTTCTAATCAAAAAAGAGCTGTGTCAGTCCATGGTTATCATCACTCCATACTAGCCCCACAGGATTTCTGAACAGATCGAAGCTTACATCTCTATCAACAACTTGGCCAGAAATAGACCATCACAGCAGAGGGATTATCTTAGATTGAACACACAGCAGAGCAGTCAGGGCTATATTAAGAGTGGGAGGGGTGTGAGTAATTTTTGGAAATGCAATAACCCTTCTCATTTTTCTGCTTTCTAACCACTACTTTCAGTGGTTACCAGGAAGAACAATAATTGTACGATTTCTACTTTATTTGTTACTCTGTAAAGGCCCTAATCCGTTAGCCAGACTATCACAAAATGTGGTAATTCATCAATTTTATTATTTCCTACCATCACCAATTACAGTCTTTCCAGTCCTTCCAGCATTTCTTGAGTTTTAGCATATCTAAAATACATCCTCCTTCCTAATCTGTATACCTAAGGGATGACAAATGAATTTCTATAGATAGACACTTAGACATATATACTCACCTTAAAATCTGTATTGTTGATGTATTCAAACACCAAAGCTGGAGTCTTTGACTGTAAGAGATAAAAGTGATTTTTAAGAAAAAAAAAAATACAGTTTGCTTTTGCTGTATACTCCCAAGTTCCCACTTAGATTCAAAACCACAATGCTTTGGAATCTCAATGAAGAGTTCATGCCATCAGCCTTGGTTTAACAATTCTGATCAGAATCTGGGCTGAGTTGGGCCAGAATGTGCTCGAGGCAAAGACATACAAAAATGAGTGCCTAATGAAACCTGCCTAGTGTTCCTGATTATCAATAGGCTTGGCCCATTAAATCAGAAATTGCACTTCTCAGCATTACCACTTGGTGACCAGAAATGATATTCTAAATGTTATATCTTGCCCTGTTCAGAGTAAATCAAAAAAGTTGACAGAATGATTCTGGATTTTGTCTAGAAAGTGTTCAGTGAGCTAAAGCAGAAAATTGGACCCTTGGCTGAGAGAGACTAGACTCTGGACACTGCTGGACTTCATATGGCCCAGGTGATGAAAAGCTGTTTATAATTAATACTGTCAATGCTGTACTATATCTAAAGAAGTCTTGAGAATCTTTGCATAAAATGTACAACCACCCCAAATCCACTGTCTAAATCCTGATGTTCATATACCAGGTTTGTTCAAAGTAAAATCAAGGAATGACCAACTTGGGTCAAGTTAATTCTCAAATAGAAGGAAAAAAGCAGGTTATAGTTTAGAGGAGAGAACAGAGAAGAGAGCAGTCATGAAAAGCTTTACGGCTCGTGTTTGACCTGATAGAAGTGGGCAGTAGTCATCTAGGATCTAAGCCCCTAGAAGTCCAGAACAGGCCCTGTCCAGATTACCCCTTAGCCAGCCCAATGAACAGTGGTGGCAGGAACTAACACAATGATTCACCACCAGCACCATCCAGGTAGACTGAAGAGCCCACTTCCTCCTCTTCTACCCCCACCATAGGTCTGTCTCAGCCAGAGGCTGGCAGCTGGCTATTGCTTCCTTAGCTATCCCAACTGCAATGATCAGGAGCTGCCGGGGACAAAGCAAGCATGCTCGCTGGGCACTCATGGAGATGGGAATATCCTGAGGGTGCTGTTTACCTCTCAGGACCAGCTAATGGCCCCTATCAAGGATGAATGGGACACAAGTATATTCTCTAGCATTCTGCATATAGTTAAGAGTCACTAAAGTGTGTCCACAGAAGAAAACAATTTCATTTGAATCCACACTGTTTGACATGGAGGTACTTTTAAATGTGACAATCATGCAGCGAGCATTGATTTCTAGGCATTAACAGTGACCATTCTCTCAGGGAGACAGCTGGAATTCAATGCTGCATCACAAAATTTTCAACTGTACATGCTGTCATTTTAATTCTCTAAGCTCCAAGAAGGCAGGTATCATGTTTTATTCATTCTCTGTATCTTCCTAACATCCAAGCACAGTGCTCTATACACAAGAAGAAAAATTCACAAATGTTTGCTGGATTGAATTAGGCTTATCTTAGCAATTGTCTCAGGCCTTTAAGAAAAAATGAACAGACTCCTTAATTTGTTTAGTACACACCACAGATGAAGACTAGTAAATTTCTTCAAAGGAAATTAGGTTATTATGGAAAAGGAGAGAGTAATTAGGCATGTCTGGAGAAAAACAGAAAAGCAAGAGAGAGGAAGAAATGAGATGGAAAAAAAGTGAGGGGCTTCTTCAACCTGAATTAGTCAGTCAAAATAACTCAAACTCAGTTATCCTACTAAAGAAACTAATTCAGCAACATCAAATCTGAAATAGGTAAAAAAAAAAAATCCTTGGGAAATTTCAGCAAGTATCTCAATTTCACCTGTAGAATATGTAAACCCTGAAATACTTGCAATATTGTTATAGGATTAAACCTTTAGGATGAAGAACAGGGTTCTTATTTTCATTTAGAGGTATTTTTCAAACAACTATGCTCTATGGAATCCAAGAGTTCCAAGAAAAATTAGTGGTAGGTGGTATTTTGAACTGCCAAACTCTTTTTGGATTAAAAAAAAGTCATTCCACAAAAGATAAGTATGATCGGCACCCTCAATAAAGGGCATTTCTTACTACTGTAATGTTCTCTTTGGTTTTTAAAATAACCACAAAAATGGCAGGCTGGTGAGGCACTGCTGAGGCAGGGGGAAAAACCTAGATTACAAGTACAGCTTAAAAACATTTCACTAACCTAGTGTGGGACCCCAAAGCCCCTCAGGCACTTACCACCGGGTCTTTCACAGTGTCAATGAGCTTAATGATATTTGTTCCACCTCGAAGATTTTCCAGAATCTTAACCTCTCGTTTTATCTTCTTTTTCTTCACTGGCTTAAATACATAAGAGCAATCAGAAGTGAGACTCCTTTTGAAGTTAACTCTGGTTTACTTGTATCCTACACAACTAGGCTGTTTGACAAAATGTTTCTCTAAACCTAAAGAAGGCAGGAGATCAAACATCTGAGCCCATTAGAGTGAGTTTAGGTTCCAGGCCCTTGCAGCCTTGTGGAGCTCAGATGCCAGAGACCCTTAAACTCATCCCATTCAGATAAGTCTGCAGATTGATCTCCAGATCTTGCTTGTTTGCCAGACAGACAAATGCCAAATGGAAAATCTTAACAATCTCTAACATCTTAACATCTCTGAACTAGCAGTTGTACATCTTATAGTCCACAGACTCCCCCAAAACTGAAACAAGGTAGTAAAACACCTGTTCTTGCACTGGTTTATACATGAGTATTTCACCTTCCAGCAAGTAAGTGGAGGCCAGTCCATTGCAATCCAATTTCAAACTTGGGTTAGTCTCAGCTGCTGGCTCCCATGGACTTCAGATCTAGGATCTGAAGTCGGCAACAGACCCGGTAAGCTCTTACACTGGATCCCATTTCTAAAGAAACAGATGTTGGATCAGCAAAAAAGAGATCAGCTTTTGCTCTGACACTGACTGAAAAACCTCTGCACATTTAGGATTCAGCAGGAGGCTGCCAGCTGAGTAGTGCACTGACTCAAACGATGAGTTTCAGAGGAAAAGCATTATCCCTACTACACGGCCCCGTTTTTGGTGAGTGACAGACAAGGCCTCCAGAACAACACATTAAACATGACTACAGAGTGCAAAGCACATGACAAGCAGGGGCACAGTCTCTACATATGGCAGAAGAGAATTTTCCAAAGATATGTGTCTGTGGGAACAACAAGCTAAGAATGAGACATCAACAGTCATCCACACATCTGCACAGGCAAACAGAAAGTGATGCCAACTGGCTGGCCACAGTGCTACCAAATGTGCCTAAAGTATTCTGTTCAGGTGAACTTGGTATATATACATACATACATACATGCCAAAGGGACAGTCACCAATTACACGCTTCTCCCGATGGTGTCCATGATCTAGTTCACAGAGTTAGACCTGGAAAGGACCTCAAGGACCATGCAGTCCAAGCCCACCCTATCCCTTTTACAGATCAGGAAACCTAGGCCCAGGGAAGGTAGACGACTTGCCTGTGGTCACACCAGGGATTAAGGATCAGAAGCAGAGCTTGAACCTGGGTCCTCTGACCCCAGAGCCAGTGCTCTTTCCACTGTAGTCAGCTGCCTTAGCTATAGTTTACCAGTTATAGTTTACCATAGTGCTATACTTTAGCTTCAGTTTACTAAATTGACCAAAAAAAAAAAAAAAAAAAATCCACAATAGCCCCCTCCCCCACTCACTCCAGCAGTCTTAGGAACACCTGACCCCAGGAATCAGGGTTTCAATGAAAATGAGCTCCTCCCTACAAAGGCTGAGGCCCAATGACCTAGAGAAAGGGGCCTTCCGCCTATCAATTATTCAGCACATGCTAACACAACAAGCAATGCTTTTCAAAGAAAAGCAACTCGTGGAGTGGTCATCTGGCAGAAGAAAACTGCAAGGAACTTCCTAGAAATAACAGCAAAGAAAAAAAGGATCTTTGCACCAACCTTGCCAATCTGTAATATTGATACAGAAATACTAGGCCAGCTGTAGGGAATGGTCCACTGAATGAGATGCTTTAGCAAGGCTATCCCATACAAATAAAGAGCATCTGTAATGCAAACCAGATATTCTGAGGTAGTCTTTGTAAAGCCCCTTCCAAACTCTCAAGTGCTCCATAAATCCTAGCTATTCTTTCCTTGGTTAACAACAGCGAGGGCAGACACAGTGCTCCTGGATGGCCCATTTCTGCCCATGATGTGAGTAAAACCTATCCACTTGCTTAGGATATCAACTTTCAAATACCATTCTGGCAGCTGAGGATGGCAGCCCATACCTGGAAGGACTGGTGTGCAAGGACAGGGCTGCATTTCCTTGGCTTTGCCCCTTCCCTAGAGGACCACAAAGTGTCCTGCAGCCCAAACCAAAAGTCCTTTGGCTCAAAGGCAAATACCATGAAAGTGCAGGCATCTAATTTTTGGCCTGAATTAACCTGCGACTCCATCTAATCTTTGCTCAGCCCTTTAAACTTGGGAGATGTTCCAGTAGCCAAACCACAAATGAGCTCCTTGGGAATGGTAACTTTAATTTTCCAAATGGAATTGGAGAGCATGACCATAGAAGAAAGTTAATGATTTTGCATTTCATTATTTTACAGAAGGTCTTATAATGGAGCAGAGGGAGCTATAAAATTACTTTCTTTCAACTCCATACCAATGAAGGACCCTGATCTGATAAAATGAATTATTTTGTTCTTTTTTTTTTACAGATAGGAGAATTTTTAACTTCCTGCCAAGAATCAACAAACCAACATATGCACAACAGCCATTCAAAGTTGAGACAAAGCTACAAATGCTTCCATGATAATCTCCTAATTCAAGCCCTTATTTCTGGAAAAATATTCCAATTTTAAGTTTTGTTACTCCATGTTGGACCTCAGCTCACAGAATCCCTGTTTAGAAAATCTGAACCAAAGCAGTTTGGCTATGTTAACATAACACTGTATTTTTTTTACTTAAATTTTAGTGGACAAAACGAGGAACAGGTATCTCAAAAGTATCTAAATTTGAGAACTTGAAACACTAAATCTAGCTACATCAGAGGACAACAGAGAACAAAGTATGTTTTAAGCACAATATGTTTAAAGAAAATACTTAATACACACTTTAAACTTTGTGCAAAGTCAGAGAATGAGAATAAGTTTCCTTTTCCCATCACCTGCCTGCCCCAGAGCATTACAAAATAAACATCAAATCCGACCACTTCGGGTAGAACCCAATGCTAGGTAGCCCAGGGAGAATAATATCACTCCTGCAGCTCTTGCCTTCCCCAATGTGAGAGTGAACTTTTTAAGTGAAAACTGAGACCTACAGCAACAAAATGCAAACTTAAAGACAAGCTATTAAGAAATGCAAAAGTTGAAATTCTTCAAGCAATCCTAAGTAATTAACACTGTTGGACAGATTTAAATTCATCTGATATGTTAACATAGTTAAAACCTCCGACCTTACTTTCGAATCACTGCTGTTTCCAGGATAAAAGACCCCATCTGTAGGCTGGCATGTAAAGCGCCCCGCACCCCAAGCCTCGACTCCAGTCTGCTCTCTGTACACACCCACCCTCACTGGAGCCAAACCTGGTCTTCGAGGAGCCCTTGCTAGATAGGACGAGCCATCTCCAGCCTGTCTCCTGGGTCTGGAGAGTACTCTGTCCTCGACTACATCTTTGATTCCCTCGCTTTCTTCAAGGTAAGCTTTGAGGGTCCCTCCAACAGGTAGTTTTGGGAATTTGCCCCAGTTGTTACTGCTCTCCTTCACTGGCTCTTCTGAAATTACTTTGTATTACTTGCTATATACTTTGTATTTATTTATCTGGCATACATGTTGCACCTCCCTGGCAAAATACAAGCTACTTGAGGGCAGGAACTGTTTTATTTTTGCCCTTATAATGCTAACACTAATGGTTCAGTGTACGCGATCTAAGCCCAAAGGACCTACTATGTGTAAGGTACTAAGAACACAAAGACAAAATAAAAAAGTCCATGCCACGAGCTCTGTATGGAGTTTGGTGCCTGAGACTGCATGACCAGAGCTGACTGGTCCCATCAGAGCTGTACCCAAGTCCCTTCTGCCCATCCTAAGGGCACACCCGTGAAGCAGAAGGGGCTGACTTAGGACTGGACTCCAGCAACCAGGATACTTCAAACTAGTTGAGTTACTTTTGCTCCACTACTAACAAGCCACTGATTACATCACCAAGGCATTCATTTCATCACCGGCAATTGTGGAAAACAATGGCTACTAGGATGCAGCCTAATTTCAATTAATTGTACATTTGCTAATTGCACAACCTAACTAGTTACAGGAGGTCAGGACATTTCTGGAATTACCAAAAACAACTTTACTTTTCACATAGTAAAATAAAAGTTATTTTTGGAATTTGTACTAAAAAAACAAAGAGGATCGTGACAACTTTACAACCTGGAGAAGAGACCTCCAGGTTCTCAAGGTGCCCCTGGCGCCCCTGGGCACAGCTCCCTCACCTCGAAGACCAGTGGCTTGGACCAGGTGCGCTCCAAAGCCCTTCCTCAGCCCTGGGTGCCCACAATTCTGAAACTTCAGGTCTAACAGAGTCATAAGAACTCCTCTAATCCCCAAAGTAATTAACCAGGGAGAATCAATTACTTGAAGAACCTAAATACATACCATATTTCATATACATGGTTCCATATTCTGCCAAGTATCTATAAAATTTTGTTTAAAAATACCCAGGGCAGCATCATTCCGAAATCTGACAATACTATCAGGGAGATAATCAGGAAGACTGCAATATGCAGTCTTAAAGGGTTGCCTGCAGAAAACAAGACTCCACAACAGATTCAAACAGATATGGTCTGAATATCCTGCTACTGGAGAGGAGGTGGGGTGGGAGGCAGCCTTTGATCTACACAACTAGTTGCCTGCGTGAATGTAAAGAGAGAGAACTTATCATGAGGGAAAATAAAAGAGGAAAAGGACCATGCAGGCCTCGGAAGAGGGAGGTGGCCCAGCTCTCAAGTCACTAACAGCCACTAACCTGTGCCCAGGGAGGGAGGGGGCGGGTTTCTTATCCTCTATGAGAGGACTCCCCCCCAGGATCCCCACCATTTCTGTAAAAAAATGTTCACGTGCTCAGAGAGCCAACAGAAATACTTGTCAGCTAGGCTGTTAACAAGAAGACAATTCACTGACAATCTTAAAACAACAATTTCCCAGCCACTGTATATGTAAGTATTTTTAAAAAATTCTCCTCCCAATGTTCAGTAAGGACAATGCCTTTGTCAATGGTCTGTGGGAATACCAATTCACACAGGTGGTGCTTGATACCTGTCAACTGAAAGCTAGGGCACACCTCTTCCGCCATTCCTTTATATACATCACCCCCACTTCTCACAAAATTCTGTATCAAAAAACAAGGTACCAAACCCTCCCGGGACCTTCTTATGCCTTGTGGGGTGCAGGAGCTTGTTGAGTTATTGGGTTTTTCTTTTTAATAATTCCCTAAGCTTTAGCCCACACGTCTCCACTGACTGATGGGGGGTGGGGGTGGGAGTGGGGTGGACTTTTCACTTCATCAGTTCAGCATCCTAACACCCATGGTTAGGATCTGCATATGGAGACAAAAGGTGAGAATTACAAATCCAAACCAAACTATACTTGTGATTTCACAAATGCAGAGAACTCCTGGTGTAGGAATTCCAACATGAGCACCTGTTCTTCAGCACCCAAACCGCAGTGTCCAATGGGCACAAGCCATCCTAAAAGCCCTGTCCAGAGTCCCAGAGGCAGGACGTGCCCAAGGAGAGGCTCCAGTCCAGGTGTTCTGGATGGAGGCTGCGTTGTGTGGAGCTAGACCCAGGGGTTTGTTCTGTGAAGTCTGGATTCAGTCAAAGGGCCGCACTTGAGGACCCAGAAGGCCACACACGGCCTCCAGGCTGCAGGGAGACTACGCAGAGGACCTCCAGAAGGAAATCCAGCAGGTTCTCTGAGGTGGCACTTACTTTACTTAATTATTTCATTTGATCTTATCTACTCTAGGAGGGAAAAGGCTATTATCATTATTTTACAGATAAAGAAACTGAGGATAAGAGGGGTCAAGTGGTTTCGCCCAAGGTAGGTCAGTCAATAAGCACTGATTAAGCACCTGCTGTGTACCACCACTCTCTGTGCTAAGTGCTGGGGCTTAAAAGAAAGATGGTCTCTGCCCTTAGGGAGCTCACAATCTAAAGGAGAAGACAACAAGCAAACATATGTGCACAGGGTCCCACAGCTAGTGTCAAAGGCAGAATTGGAACACAGGTCCTTCCTGACGCTGCTTCTTAAAATGAAACTGAGCAACTCTACCATTTACTCTGTGTGACCTTGGGTAAGTCCCTCCTCTCTAGGTCTCAGTTTCCTTATCTGTAAAATGAGGGGGTTAGATTCCATAGCCTCTGAGTTGCCCTCCAAATATCCATGGTCCTCTTCACTTTACAGAATACTGCAAAAGGCAGGCTCTTTTCTTAGGGAATTTACTTATCATTTTGTGCACTTCCCTTAAATTCACTCATTTCTAGCTGTAGCTAACTCACAGCAGGATTATTTGAAGAGGCAGCTTTTCTCAGGTCCCCCAATATTAAATGCAGTTAGTCATTTACAATAGACTTGACTCTTCTCTAATCAATTATCAGAAGACACACCCAAAAAGGGGGAATGTCAACTATACTTTATCTGGATATAGCAGGACATTTCATAAACAAAGATTCTAATATTTTTCAAGTCACTTACATTGACTTGAATCTAGCCCGTCAGACATACAACGAAAAGTCACTAACTTCACTGTAGTTTCTCAACCCATGTGGGTAAAGAGGCATAAAATGTCAGGATTTTTGTGTGATTTGTTGTGCTGATTAGTGTTCACAAGGGGAGGCAAGGTAATCCTGACCCCATGCTGTCGAAAATGTGTTTGTCAAGAGGTTCTCATCCAAAGGATACTTAGCTAATGCTCCCATCAACCACAGAACCAGCTCTTAATCTGACCCAATCCTCAATACCGTTTAGCGTTCTGATCCTAGGTCAGGAAGCCAGAGACACCACAGTTTGATAAACAAAGCACTAGCTGAAAACCGAGCAAACCTCAGTGTATCGCATCTCTTTCAGGTACACAAAGAGTGTCCTTTAGCAAGTTCTCCACCTGTAAAAATAGGGTGCAGAGCTTCCATCTCACTAAGCTATTCTGAGAACCAACAGCCAAGTGTTAGTTTTGTTGGGGGGGTAATAATTTGCCCAGTGAAGTCACTACTCAGAATTATTATAAGGTGTGACTACTAAACAAAACTGATTTTTGAAATAAACATTCCTCAATTTACAGGTAAGATACATCTACAAACAAGTATTAGATTCTTCAAAGTAGTCAACCTTATGATACTATGTACATATTCCAATCAAATTGCCATTTGCTCAAAACACTTTTGGAAACTAAAAAAGGCTTTTGGGACAAACTTCCTCAATAGTAAAGAAAAAACCAAAAGGCACATGGAGCCAATTCAAGTGAATGAGAGTGGGTGATCAAGTTTGGGAACAGCATTTTGGGTTAAAAAAAAAAAGTAGAAAAATAAGGTTGATTTTTTGGTCACGCTCACAGCTGGTTCCGGATGCAATCTCAAGAGGAAGAAGTTTCTAAAATGTTTTGTGCAGTAGGAACATCCTTAGAAAAAGAGTCTATAACTCGAAAGACGACTACTTTGAAGAGGTAAATACTTAAAAAAGATAGTGTGTTTGTTTAAAAATCCCTCACATTATAGTTATCCCTTGTGTTAACAAAGAGGAAAGCCAGCTTCCATCTATCACTGACCCTCCCTGGTTGTGCCATAGCACATATCCCTGCTCCTCCAGCAGAAGGATGGATCACTGTTGGGAAACTGTTCCCCTCTCAATATTGCCAGAGTAGAAACTCAGGAATACACACCAAACAAGGATCATCATTCACAGACAGTACCAACACTAAGACATGAAAAAATGTTTTAATCCTATTCTTATTCTGCAAATCTATTCAAAATGCTACTAGACCAAGAAGGCACAGCTACCAGCCGAGCTCATTTCACTTAATTCCCTTTATTTTTCATAATTACTTGAATAAATCAGAACTGAACTGCCATGAGCACCCATTAAATTCCAAGAGTTTCTCTGCTGTGCCCCTTATCAAACATTATTATCAAGAGCCAGCTCCATTATCAACTTGGGAAATTTCAGTCCAGTATTTTTGTTTGTTCTGGCTATGCTGTGTGATAATTACCCTACATGGGTTATGTAAGAGTTAACAAAAAGGTCCATGGCTATAAGAGTATGCCACTACATCCTCCATTAAAAATGCCATACCCAAATTGTTGTTTTAGCTCTATTCTTTTGTAGTGTTGATTTCTGCCAGGAAAACAGGTACCACAGAGGCAACATTTGATTCCAGAGGGCTCCTCCTGTTGTTAGTGTCAAGACTCATTCCAAATGAGTCCATGTTCTACTTTTCCTGACAAACTAAGAATAAACATCCCAACACACAAGATCATGACCTCACAGCACATCATCCCCACAGCCGAATGAACAGGTTATGGTTATGGTTCTGTGGCATTTTTTTCCCCACCTCTGACCTGCATCATTCAACCTTTGAATTCATCTCAATGCCAGATGAAATTTCCTCTTACAAACAAACAAGAACATCCATTAAACATAACTAATGCTCAAGTAAACCTTGCCCAAAGGCAGGCCCAGGAAATAAGGGAACTAGTTTCTGAGGGCAATCTACTGACTTGCCAACTGAGAAACAGGTAACAGAATTCCACCTGAGATGTATGCTAGGGGGACCCAGTATCTTTATATTAGTAACAGGTCCATTCCTAAAACACTATGCTTAGATTTTGTCAACATTACCCCTAGTTCGTCATTTTTTAGTGGTGAATAGAAAATGGGATGGGGAAGATTAATGGAAGAAGATTTTTAGTTGGATGGAAAGCAAAGATAAGCTCTTCTGCATACTCAAACATCACTTCTTACTCTGGAACATGGTAGTAAATGTTTTCCTTGTGAACTAGAAAACTACCATGAAATTTTAAATAAAATTATAAAACCTAGGTGGTGGTGTGGATAGAGCACTGGACCTGGAATTAGGAAGACTCAAGCTAGACTTCTGCCCCAGGCACTTGCTAGCCATGTGATCCTGCCTCTATGAGCCTGAATTTCCTCATCTGCAAAATGGGGAAACAGCTCATGCTATCATAAGGATGGCGAGGCTCAAATGAGATAAGACATGTAAATGGCTTTGCAAACCTCCAAAAGCTATAGAATTATTAGCTGTCATTACTCTTATTATAATAATCACAAGAGTACCATCAACAGAACACTGACTCACCTTGAGAATTTTTACAACCACTCTCTCATTGTTGGTGATGTTAATGGCCTCAAACACTTCACTATATTTTCCTCGACCAAGTTTCCGAACCAGTTGGTAATCGTCCTGATTACTGTGAAGAGCAAGAGACACATCTGAGTGACAGTGGTTTGGTGTTAACTGATTCAGTAATCTCTGTCACACACACTTCATCCAGATGGAGCCCCAGGAACTGCATTCAGCCATAATTCCTTCCCCTAAATGAGTGTCAAAGCCCCCCCTGGGTCTCTTAACTTTGCTCCAAACCTGACCCTAACTGACCTCCTACATTGCAGGAAAAGGGAGGAGGAAACCCTAATCTCTCCAAATGACCTGCTCCATTGGGTGGAGGGTTGGGATAGGTACCCCAACTCTATCTAATGACCCTCCCCACAATGGGAGGCAGGGGATGGAGTAGGAACCCAACTCTAATTGACCCTGTCTCCACTGGGAGGAGGGAATGGGGTAAGAATCCCAGCTCTAACCCTTGCTCCGTGGGAAGGGGGTAAAAACCCCGACTCCTACTCCGGGGATGGGGGTGGGGGGAGGACGGGGTAGGAGCCCCGTCTCTAATTAACCCTCACCTCACTGGGAACGGGGAATGGGGCAAGAATCCCGATTCTCATTAACCCTGACTCCATTGGGAGGGGGTAGGAGCCCCGACTCTAATTGACTCACTCCACGGGGGAACGGGATAGAAGCCCCGACTCTACTGCCCCTCGCCCCGCCGGGAGGGGGCAGGGGTGGGCCGGCTCGCACGAGGGAGCCCCCTGCAGCTCCCCCCGCACCCCCGTCCCTCCCTCCCCGGCGCCCCTCCGGGGGCTCTCCTCGGGGCCTCGGCCACCCCCCGCCCAGCCCAGCCTCGCCCCGCCGGGGCCCGGGCCGGCCGTGCGCTCGCTCCTCCCGCGGGGCTGGGGGCGGCCCGGAGCACATGGGCCCGGGGCGGCGGCGGCGGCGGCGGCGGCTTCTTTACCCCCAGCTCGGGACGTGCGCCTCGTAGTCCCAGTACTCGCGGCTCCTCAGGCTGTTCACCTCGGCGTAGACTCGGGCCCTGCTCCCGGCGGCCGGGCCGGGCATGGCGGGCGGCGCCGGGCGGCAGCGGGGGGCGCTGGCCGGCGGCGACGAGGGCAGGGGCGGCAGGAGCAGCAGGCGGCGGCCCCGGGGCGCTGAGCGCAGGAGCCCCAGCAGCGACGAGGCGGCGGCGCAGGCGAGAGCGGCGAAGACGGGC